ACCTGTACGAATAACGTACTGACAGGTGACGCTGCGCCGCGCATACCACTCACGGGCGGCCTGAAGGGTCGGGGCAGGCTGCTGACTCTGACCGCCCCCCGGGCCTCCACGACCACCACCCCCTCCGCCTCCGCCCCGGCCACCTCCACCCCTGCCGCTGCCACGACCACCTCCGCCTCCGCTGCCACCTCCGCCCCTGTCACCACTCCCAACACCGCTGTCACCTCCACCACCGCCGCCACTAGCCTCTCCAGTCGCACCTCCACCGCCACCACCTCCACCCCCGCCTCCTCCGCCACCACCCCCACTCCTGCCACTCCTGCCCCTGCGTCGTCCGCCTGAAGCAGACGCAGCCCCGACCTTCTCAGCACCAAGGAGGTCGACAGCAGCAGCAGAGGCGACAGAGGGGAGGAGGGGGGAAGGGGAGCACCCCTCGAAGAAGGGGCCGCGGGGGTCGCCACGAGAGGTGCCTACAGCGACGATACTAGCCTCGGCTGCAAGCAGTTCCTTCTCGAGGAGGGCTATGGTGAGCTCAGTGGGGGAGCGAGAGAGGAACTGGTCCCTGACAGGGCGCAGAGAGTCAGGGAGGCGGGTGACAACGTGGTAGAGAGTGATCCAGAGCGGGGGGGGGTTGCTAGCGAGAAACTCATCAGGCATGGCAGCGCGAAAGCGAGCCTCACTAGTCTTAAGGTGGGTGATGAGGTCTGCGACAGTGTGAAAAGAGGCTAGGTCGGGGAACAGGTAGGGGAGAGTGAGGCGGCCTAGTGTGGCAGAAGCGGGTGAGGAGTAGCGGGCCACTACAGCTGTGTAGAGGTCCTTAGCAGTCTTGCACTGGCCGAAGTGCTCGCGCTCATCTAGCGGCAGGGAGTTGCGAATAGCAAAGCGAGCGTGCGCGTCACGGGTCTGCCACTGTGAGCGCTCAGCTGGGGGGGCAGTAGCGAGTGGGGCGGTCGCATGGCCGAGAGCGTGGTCGTACAGTGTAATATCTTCCTTGGCAGTGAGCTGTAGGAAAAGGTGCAGGTCATCTAGCCAGGTTTCGAATTTGACCGGACGGCCCTCGGCGTCGAAAGCTAGAACAGGAGGACTAGCCATAGCGACAGCGGCAGTAGTAGAAGCAGTAAAGTCACTGAACAGGCGTGCGCAGGGTCAGCAGGGCCGGTGGGGCCTACGGACTGTAGTGGCGCACAAGCAGCAGTAGTAGGAAGTGTAGTGGTGCACAGGCGCAGCAGGCGGCAGCGAGAGCCGGCGCAGCAGGGGCGGGCTCAGCAGCGGTGATACGCGGGCGGCAGCGGGCGCAGCAGCGGCGGTGCGCGGGCGGCGGCGGGCTCAGCAGCGGCGGTGCGCGGGCGGCGGCGGGCTCAGCAGCGGCGGTGCGCGGGCGGCTGCGGGCTCAGCAGCGGCGGGCCGGGAGCAGTGCGGGCAGCGTGCGGGCCGGCGGCGGTCAGCGCACGAGCCGCGCAGGCTCAGCGCGGGCTGCGCGGGCTGCTCGCGGGCTGCGTAAGCGGGTCGCGGGCGGCTCGCGGGGGTTCGCGGGCAGGTCGCGGGCTGCTCGCGGGCAGTTCGCGGGCTGTGCGCGGGCTGCGCGGGCTGGTCGCGGGCTGCGCAGGCGGGTCGCGGGCTGTGCGCGGGCGGTTCGCGGGCTGTGAGCGCGGCGCGCTGTGCGGTTCGCGGGCGGCGTGACGGGGCCGATCGGGGCGCTAAGGGGCGACGCGACGGGGGCCGTGAGAGGCCGCTAAAAAAAAAAAATTTCGACGGGGCCGCAGGGCCGCTAGATCGTGCTAGATCGACGGGGCCAGCGGGGCCGGAAACAAGCGAAGGTAAGCAGGTAGGTAAGTCGGTGGGCCCTAAGAACAGTCCTAGCGAAGGACCTGCTCTGAAACCATGTCAGAAATAACTGAGCAGGAATGAATGAACTAGAACAGAGTTTGGTACAAGTAGGAAACCCTAACTTTGTGTACCCCCTAAGGTGTAACCCACTACAGCCTAGACAATATAAACATGCAATGTTTGACATGACCTTACATGTAATACCCACCAATCAACTAATCCAGCACAGCTTGCGTCTCCCCACCGCATACCATACCTTGCAACCACCGCGCACTTACGCATCTCCCCACCGCATACCTCACCTTGTAAGCACCGCGCACTTACGCGTAACGGTAGGTTGGGAATGTTGAGGCAAAGCCCTTCACACGCTTGGTTTCGCGTGTATCAGCCCTAAGCGGAGTAACAAGATATCGCATGCCGCATACCGGTTTGGCTTACCGTATACCTTTGTTGCGGAATTCGCCAAGTACCTTCTAATGTATTCACTTTACAACATTGGACTGACTGGAGGGAAGTGACGACATTGCACAAACGAGTATGTGCAACTGTCAGTGTTGCAAGAATCTGCGCAATAACTCTTGGGCAGGTAAAAATACACATGAAGTGGTATTTTCACCTGACACTGCCAACCAGGAAATTTCATACTAGAGTGGGCGCTTGCATGTTCTTCTTGAACAACGTTCTTGTAGAACGTTCTTATACACGTCACTATGCTGCTGTATAAGGTTCATGTTGTTTTTGCTGTAATATATTAATGAATCAATATATCAATTTCGTTCCTTCAATTACTGTATACCAAGCTGTGGTTTTTAAATAACCAATATTCGGTTTTCAACAAGCATGTATTCCGCTTTCATCAAGCATCCGGTTTGCAACTCTGCGCCTAAGCTCTCCCATAATCGCCTATTCTCCGCAGGGACGAGGTATACGTCGAGCCCTCCCATTTTGACCAACTTTTCTGCTCCTAGGAATGGCAAGATCAATAGTGGGTCCTAGAATTTTTAGATAGGTAGTGTTCGTTGACTTTTCATAGTTGTATTTGAGCTCGGAAAACGCATATACGCGCACACACACACACACACACACACACACACACACGCACGCACGCACGCACGCACGCACGCACGCACGCACGCACGCACACACACACACACACACACGCACACATAAAACGTATACGGCGTTGTTTACGTTCGTACCATCAGTAGAACCATTATTTTGCCCTCTCAAATTCTCTGGATGCAAACCGTTGGATGAACGGACAGCTTGAAAGCATCGAAATATCGTTGGCGCGTAAAAACTCGTTTGAGGCGCGTGGTTGGTACATAAAAACTCGAGGGCGTTGTCATTGTGGCTACAGTTTTTCCTGTATTTTGGATTTTACGACCTCCCGCCTTTGCAACGACGTTCAGGATTTAACATAATATTCTAAACGTAACACTCGCTAGAGTGTTTGGTGGTTTCGATTCAAGTTTCGGTCGCCATATTTCTTTCGGTTGTGTTCTAGGGAGTTCGCAATTTCCGTTTCGCTGAGTGGTTTGAGAAACTGCTGGTAACCGCTCTCTCAGATGGTTAGGCAGCCTACCCTGCACTGCCACGTAGTCCTCAACTCAACCTCCAGCTGGTTCGTCGGTGCTGCTGCTGAGCTGACAATACAACGGACAGGGACGAACCGAAGCGCAAACAAGAAGCCGAAAGAAACCGCGCGACGGCTCTGACTGCTAGCGACACGGGCCGGCCGAAGCGCGCGATAAATTCAGTGCCCGCCTACGGCCAGCCGAGCATGGGACGGGGGGAGAAATTGGCAGGCAGGGGAGATTGAAATGAGACGGTTTTGACAAATCTACACAAGAGAGGAAAGAGAAGGAAGAAACGACAGCCTCAAGCACTTGGCCTGCGAGTGCCATGCCAAGCCAACAGGGAGGAGGAATTCAGTAAGCGCTTTCTTCCTTGCGTGTGAATGAAGGAGCCCGAGGAGCTTGCAACCCGGCCGACTCGCAGTTTTATCTTCCAGGCCCACTCTTGTCGACCATTTCTGCTAGCTTTGAATAGGTTCACGTCACTCGGGTTAGAATTGCAAACAAACGTAAAGAAGAGAATGAAAACTTCACACTTTCAACCAGGACGTCGTGCGATGCGTTGACTAACGGGGTAGGTACTACCATAGCTTGCAATCGATTCTCAGACGCTTGAATTTGGGCACTAGCATCACTGAGCTAAATAAATCCACCTCTGGTGTAGACGCCTGAAACCGGCTCAGAAGAACCGCCAGTCACTTGTATAGTTATAGCCATCAAATTCGAAGACGCTCTAGTCGACTTTGACAAGACAGCACTAAAGATTGGTGCATATACTCTCTCAAACCGAATATACTCCATCATCTGCCGGCCATGGACTTTTCGCCAGCCTTCGCCACGGGGCCTCCCAGCTCCCTCCAAAAGCCGTCCGTCGCGGGGCGAATAGGCAATTGGCGAGCCCGGGCAGATGAAGGTTTTCTCATGCTGCCCATCCCCGAGGAGGCAGAGCTAGTAGAGATGAGCGCGGAGGCGGGTTCCTCGCGCGCGGCATGGCGCGCGCAGGCGCTGCTGGGAATTATCTTGGGGGAGAAAGACAGCGCGTCGTTCAAAGAGGCGGAGACGAAGGGCGGCAGGGCAGCTGCGGGGGGAGCGGGGATAGAGTGGGGTACGGAGGACAAAGGCGAGGGGGCTGAGGCGGAGGCGGAGGCTGCGGCGGAGGCTGCGGCGACGGCTGCGCTACGGCATGCTATGGCAGGGGCAACCAAGGACGCTTCGACACGTGTAATTGGAGACTCCGCCGGATATAATGACACCGGCAAACCCGGCGTTGCCGCATGCGGCGGCGGCGGCGGCGGCGGCAGCGGCGGTGCTGGTAATAGTAGCGTCTCGCGGTGGCGGGCCATCGCAGCTGCCATGCTGGGTAAACGGGCAGCGGACCAGCCCCCGACGGCAATTCCGGCTTACGATGCTCGCGCAGCGATGGAGAACACGCCGAAAGCGGAACACGACTACGCACGCGCGCCGAAGACATTCGAGGCGCCGCAAGGGGCTGCCCACGCGGATTCCCACCAGTCCAGGGGTGGCGGCGCATGGTGGTCCGCCTGGTTCCGGGATAGCGGCCGGGGCAGCGCGGAGCACGAGCAAAATTACGGAGGGATGGCGGGGCAAAATCAGGCAGAGCTGCACACAAAACCAGCTGCAGCCGCGGCCGCGGCCGTGGCGCACCAATCGATGTTCGCGGAGAAACCGCGCGAGCTCGAGTTGAGCAATCCGTCATCCCCGTTTTCCGTGTCCCCGCCGTCGTCTGGCGCGTGCTCGCCGCCCACCTCCGCTTCGTCCTCGTCCTCCTCCGCATCCTCCCCCGAATCTTCCGCCTCTGGACAAGAAGGAGCTCCGCCAGAGCCCTGCTACTTGCACGAGGATGCCCGCGCGGACGGGCGCGGGGCGGAAGGCGGAGGTAGCAGCGGAGGAATCGGAAGAGGAGAGGCGGGCGGGCGGATTAGGCCAGACGCGGAAGCACCCGTGGTTGGCTCGTTCATGGGCTTCGCCATGCGCGGAGCAGCCGGAAGCGCAGCTTCTGCGGACGGCGGAAGCGGAGGCGGAACCGGAAGCGGAAGGGGCCAAGCTTGGGGTTGGCTTGAAGGAGAAGAGGCGGAAGGGCAGGTGCAAGCGGACGTACGCGCTATAGAGAACCAACAACACGCGTTACGGCATGCCCTGGAGCGCGCGCAGAATCGCCGCGACGAAAGTGCTGGAGGTGGAACCGCGCAGTTTGGGGCGGAAGGCGCAACTGGCGCAACCGCGGCGGAAGCGGAAGGACCCGCGGGCCTCCCAGCGAATCTCATGAGCGCATGGCGGGAAGCTTGTGTCGAGTCTGAGGAGGATAGGCTAGGCGGAGCGCATATAGCACGGCGGAAGGACGTCGACGGTAACGTTTTCAATTACGGTTATGGTTACGGTTACAGTCCCTCCGCTTATTCCGCCGCGGAGACGACGCCTTGCGATGGGAGAACCTCCCTCCGTAATCCGCGAAGCGTCGCCGTGAAACCTGGCGGCGCGAAAAACTCCCTCTGGCTGGGGGTCAAATCCTGGGCCGCGTCGCGATCTGCAGCGCGGAGGCGAGCGGCGGCCGTCCCGCGCGCGCAGCGGGAGGGGGAGTGGGCGGTGTGGGGGATCGGGTTCGCGGTGTTTGCGCTGGTGAACGTGCAGCTCATCACCGGGTGCGCGCTCCTCTGGCTCTGCCTCCCCGACGCGTGGTCTGCCACCGCGCGCGCGGCAGTCGCGGGGAGCGCCAGCGCGCTCGTGGCGGCGCAGCTCGTGGGGAACGTTGTCGTGGCGGCTTTTGCGCGCGCGGTCGTGCTGCGGGAGTTTCTCAGGCGGAAGATGAAAGCCGCGGGGAAGGCGCAAGGGGTGGCGGTGGGGGGCCGGCGCGGCGCGGGGAGGGCGGAAGATGGCGAGGCGGCGGAGGTTGCGGGGAGGGGGGAGGCGGTGGCGGCGTGCGGAGTGGCGTGCGCGCTGGATGTGGAGCAGCTACTGGCGGAGCAGGGGGAGGGGGGAAACGATGGCGGGGACAAGCAAATGATGAAGGTACGCTGCAGGGAGGGGGAGGACCCTCTCAGTGCTTTTGTTCCATTCCAGAACCTTAGCCAAAGAAGGAATTTATAGCTATTTATTGAAATGATTTGTTGAGCAGCCTCCTTCATGCTCAGCTCAAGTGCATGATGCATCTCTTCCCTCCCGCCTTTCCTCCGCCTCTCCCCCCTTCCCTTTCCCTGCAGGGCTTCCACTCGCGCCCTCTGCTGGTGTACCAAGCCGAGCAGAGCACCCAGCCCTGTTCCACCGACCTGCATCCTTCCGAACCCGCCAGCACCGCACCAACAAACCCCGGCCCTTACTCCTCGGCGCCTTCGCCTGCTGCCACGGCTGCAGCTGCCGCCTCTGCCTCTGCTGCTGCGCCAGCAGCAGCCGCAGCAGCAGCAGCGTCAACGAGCAGCGGGGGAGAGGAGGCGGCGGCGGAGGAGGAGGGGGGAGGGCGCGTGGTGGCGGTGGACTTTGTGGTGACGGACGTGGTGTCGCGCGTGTCAGTGGTGGTGCGCGCTCAGCAGGCGGCGGAGAGTGGCGCCCTGGAGATGGTGCGCCTGCCCACTGCCCGGCGACGGGCTCGCGGCGAGCCTTCCAGGTGAGTGACACATTGTGGAAGGGAGAGTGGGAGGAGATGGGTGGGAGGAGGTGGCTTGCGAGCCATTTTGGTTACAAACGCACTGGCGAGGGGTTGGTATGCTCAAATAGTACTCGTCTGTTCCACTCATCGTGTCTTCTTTTGCACACAGCCTTCTTCTTGACCACTCCACATCCCCCTCCCCCTCCTTTCCCCCCTTCTCCACTCATCCTGCCCTCATCATCTCACACTCCTTTACCTCCTCCTCCCCCGCACCCATCGTTTGATACATGCAGGCCATTGACGGCAGTTCGAGAGGGCGATGTGGTAACTGCAATTGGGAGCGCCGAGCGGGATCCGTATACAGGCACGCTGCAAGTCGTGCCGCTGGTTTATCCACGTAACATCTCCACGTTTGCGCTACTCTTTGGCTGTCTTCCCTTCTATTTCCCCGTGGTTGTTGGCCGGAAACTCATCGTAGCGTCCCTGTGAGCGTGGTATTAACGGCAGCTGACATATGGCACAGGTGATTACGTGCTCCGCCTGGCTCTGCAAGGCCTCGTGAAGGCTCGTAAAATTTAGTGCAGTAGTGACGAGGTTGGAAATGATCAGAGAGTTGGGTGTTGTGCGTGTTTAGAAGATAGACAGGTATAACAAATGACCTTTGCATCTTCTCTTGTCTTTCAAGAGAACTCTTTTCATGCCGCATTCTTAGAATAAGGCTTTGTGAGGTGCATTACCATGTAGTATGGTTAACCTAGCTAGCTAACTTTTGGAGCTGAATGAACTTTCGTGGACATTCTCCAAAAGCAAACAAGTGGGAAAGTATATACGGTACAACAAGGTGCCACTCTTGTTTTTTCTTTTTTAATGATAATTGAAAGTATACACCGAAGGGCAAGTATATACTAACAAGAACGGTCGTAACCGTGCGTGAGGAGCTAGAGGGGACCTCTTGCTCCAGATAGGATTCTAGGGCCTGATGCGCCCGGCCCTCCTCGCCGACCAGATTGCTGCAAAGTTCTTTGTCCACGTCAGGCTTCTGCCATCCGTTCTGATCCTCTCAAGCATGTGCCACTCTTGTTGTAAAAATAGGCAATAAACTGTTTGTTTGAGTATCTATTGCCCATAACGGCAGCCTACACTCTAGCTCAATCAATCGTTCTGTGCCTACACCGGGCACTTCCCCTGGGGTTGACCACGTGGTCGCAGCGTTGCGACACACGTCATTTGTCGCGTCATTGGCACACGTCCATGTTCTGCCACGTAGCGATGCGTGCAGCTAACGTTGAGGAATCAGAATCACTCGAGCAATCGCAGACGACCATTTCCCAACGCACCACTCAGATTCGGCCATCCAGAATTGCCACATGCACGTGAGTCTGACTAGCAAGGGGCAGACGAGACAACACTAATTCCGCAGTGCATGCCATTTGCACCCCGAATTTACAATTTGTTACCACTCCGGCTCTGCAGCGAATTGCGGCGATATCGCAATAACAATTTTATCGTCGCGCGCCACTACCCCAACACAGCCGTACCGTGTTTGTGTGCTCCGTCCAGATTTGAGTATGGTTCCTGGTCCTGGCAGCGCGTCTCTCGTGGGTCCTCTCTCTTCGTCGCCACTAGCGTCGCTAGCGTCGCTCTCGTCGCAATCTCTTTCCATGCGACACTATCGCTGGGCCCTACTCGCCATACCCCTCGCGCCCACATTGATCCTCTCGGTTCCGCGCGCCCACGCCGTTATGGTTTCCGCCTCCGGTCCGTCAACGTCAACGTCAGCGGTTGCTGATCCGTCAAAGTTCGGCTACCGGTCGACGGCGGAAGATGTGACGGCGGGCGTCGATTTGAGCGGCAAAGTAGCAATCGTAACGGGTAAGAGCATCGAATATCCGGTTTCGCCATATGCAGTAAACGGGAGGAAACGGGAAAAAAATGGGAAGAGGACGGGGGAGGAAAGGGGAAAAGAGGGGGGAAAAGAGGGGAGAGAAGAAGGGAGGAAAGCTGTGGGAGAGAATGGGGATTAGAAATGGGGCATTCTGTGTGTGTGTATGTGGTATGGGGAAGGGGAAAGGCACACGTGAGGCGGAGGAAACGGGGGCGGTGTTGGGGATGAGGCATGACGTGATACCGCAGCTGCGAGGCCCGGCAGAAGCATGAGCAGCAACAACATGAGCTTTTTTCTCCCACTTTCCTCCTAGCTTCCACCCAATGTGTCCTTATCACTCTTGCATCTCTTTCGCGTCTTCGCCTTTCGCCGTCGAACTGGCCTTTCTCGTCCCCTCGTCGCGAATCCCTCTCTCTTCCCCAAGCCATTGTGGAAAAGCGTGTGAGACGGCTCGGAATTTCTTCGTGTCATTAAAAAGGAAAAAACGTTTCCCCTCCCCCCTCCTCCTGTGCGCCCAAACTCTTTCCGCACGTGCGAATTCCCCTTGCCGCGCAAACCTCGTCCTCGCGCCATTGTCCTCCCTGCGCCCGCATATCGCCCCCACCTCCCCGACACAAATTATTTCTCCTTCCACCACTCTCCACACCACACCCTTCTGGCGCGAATTTCCTTTCCCAGGCGGCAGCAGCGGCATCGGCACGGAGACGGCGCGGGTGCTGGCTCTGCGGGGCGCGTCCGTGGTGCTCGCGGTGCGCAACACGGAGGCCGGGGAGGCCGCCAAAGCCGCCATCATCAAGGACATCGAGGCTCGAAGCGCAGCGGCGGCGGCGGGGGGAGTTCCGCCGGCAGTGCGCGAGCGCGTGAGCGTGATGCCTCTGGATCTGGGGTCGCTCAAGTCCGTGCGCGCGTTCGCCGCGGACTACCTGCGCCTTAACCGCCCTCTGCATCTGCTCATGTGCGCGCGGAGGGGGAGGGGATGGGGGAGGGGGAGAGGGCAAGGAGGGGTGGAGGGGAGAGGGGAGGGACAGCGGGAGAAAAGGGCGGGGTAAGGGGAAATGGTGGGGAGGGGGGGAGGGGGGGATCGAGGGAAGGGGATAAGTGTGGGTGGCGCGTGGAGGGGGGAGAGACGATTCATTTGAGTCTTAAATGATCTGCTGTTGGTTCTGTCCCGTGCCCCTTGATTCACACCTCCCTTGTTCCTTTCCTCCCCCCTTCTCCCCTTCCCTCCTTCCCCACCTCCCTGCATCCCTGCCTACCAACCAACCCATTTTGCCAGCTATTCTACTTTTCAGCTTTACTTTGTCTGTTCGTCCAGACCCTTCCCCCTCTCCGTGCACCCACCCCACCGTCCCTTTCCCCCTTCTCTTCCTATCTCAAATTCCACCTCACCCACCTTAGCAATCCCACCCCGGCTCACCCAACCTCACCCAAGCCCGCCCCACTTCATCCTACCCCACCCCATCCTACCCACCTTGAGCAGCAACAATGCGGGCGTGATGATGTGTCCGTACATGCTCACAGCGGATGGCTATGAGAACCAGTTCGGTACCAACCACGTGGGTGAGTGTTGGGAAGCTGCCACCACGTGGGTGATTGAAGTGGGGCAGCAACCACGTGGGTGAGTGCGGTGGGGCGGCAATGCTGTGCGTTATTGCAACGGGGAAGCAACATGTGATAAGCTGGTCACGTGCACACAGTTGAGTGGCAGGGCGGAGTGTGAGTGGTGCGAGGGAGGCAGAGTCTTAGCAGCTGGTTGTGCTATTCCAAGGCATGAGAGTGCGTGTGTTGCTCCCCCAGGCTCATCAGGCTGAGGCTCATTGGATCCCACCACCACCGCCTCGCTCTACCTCTTTTCTCCTCCCCCCCCTCTCCTCCCCCTTCTCTCTCCCCCCCTTCCCTTTTCCCTCTGCCCCCCTCCCACCCACACCCCCCACCTGTTGCATCGTGCCGTAACCTCTCCAGCTCACTTCCTGCTGACCAACCTGCTGCTGCCGAAGCTTAAGGAAACCGCGAAGCAGGAGGGTGCAGAGGCGCGCATCGTGATCGTGTCCTCCGCCGCGCACCAGTTCCCGTACCCGGGCGGCATCCGCTTTGACGCCATCAACGCCAAGGAGGGCTACGACATGATGAAGGCGTATGGGCAGTCCAAGCTCGCGAATATTCTGCACGCCAGAGAGCTCTCGAGGAGGCTCAAGGTGCGTGTTTGGCTGTGAGGGAGGAGGGTTGGTGGGGTTGGAGTGTGTGTGTGCATGTGAGTTCTAGTATGCGTGTGGGTGTGTGGGTGGGTACGCGTGCGTGCGTTTGTGTGTGCCTGAGTGGGAGGGTATAGGAGCAGGAGTTATGGGCGAATCCCTTTCCACTCACCAACATCCGCTTTGACGCAATCAACGCCAAGGAGGGGTACGATATGATGAAGGCGTACGGGCAGTCCAAGCTCGCTAATATCCTGCACGCCAGAGAGCTCGCAAGGAGGCTCAAGGTGCGTGGCTGCTGGACTTTTTATTCTTGAAAGGGTAGGGTCTCGCATCACATCGCCTGTGTACGATGGGTTCAAGGCGTACGGGCAGTCCAAGCTCGCCAATATTCTGCTCGCCAGAGAGCTGGCCAGGAGGCTCAAGGTGCGTGGCTGTGTAAGAGGAGGGTGTATTTGAGTGACTGGGTGTGTTGGTGTGTTGGAGCGAGTGGGTGTGTTTGTTTTGAGTGACAGGGAGTGTTTAGGTAGGTGGGTTTGCAGGTATATATGTGTGGGGGTTTGTGCGCATGTGTGTGCATGAGTGGGAGGGAAACGAAGAAGCAGGCAGGGGAAACGCACCAGAAAAGCACTTCTTTACAGTTCCAAACCTCTTGCCAAACGCCTCTTTTGCCTTGTCCACTTTCCCAACCCTCCTCCCCCAGTGAATGAAAACTCCTTGGGCAGTTGTGACAGTGAATGCTCCGTACCCGGGGGTAATCGACACTCAACAGATGCAACCCCCGTCTCACTCACCAACACCCTCCCTCACCCCCCTTCCCCCCCCCTTCCTTCCCCTCTCTCCCTTCTCCCAATCCTCCCCATGCGAGCAGGAGGAGGGAGCAGGCGTGACAGTGAATGCGCTGCACCCGGGGGTGATTCACACCAACCTCACGCGCTACTTGGTGCCGGAGGGGACTATCTGGCACACAATCGGACGTACGTGGGGCGGGTTGACGGGTGCATGGGTGGGTGGGCTGGTGGGTTGGTCAAGAAATGCCTTTTTGTGGTCCAAAGCAAAGCGTTTTCACAGCACAGAGTGCTGTCGGGGGCTGTCAGGCAGGCAGACCCTGGGGCTTAGTTGATGGGTTGGTCATTTGGGCAAGTGGGTGGGAAAGAGGGGGAGGAGGGGCGTCTGAGGGGCGGATGGGTTGATGGAAACTATTCAACACTATGTTGCACATACGAGAATTCTTGGGTGCATGTGTTCTTTTTCCACAGACACCCCCCTGCCTGCTCGCTTCTTGCAGCCTGCTTGCTTCTGCGTTAACTTGGTTGAGCACCCGTTGTCATAACCTATGTTAACTTGGTTGAGCACCCGTTGTCATAACCTATGTTAACTTGGTTGAGCACCCGTTGTCATAACCTATGTTAACTTGGTTGAGCACCCGTTGTCATAACCTATGTTAACTTGGTTGAGCACCCGTTGTCATAACCTATGTTAACTTGGTTGAGCACCCGTTGTCATAACCTATGTTAACTTGGTTGAGCACCCGTTGTCATAACCTATGTTAACTTGGTTGAGCACCCGTTGTCATAACCTATGTTAACTTGGTTGAGCACCCGTTGTCATAACCTATGTTAACTTGGTTGAGCACCCGTTGTCATAACCTATGTTAACTTGGTTGAGCACCCGTTGTCATAACCTATGTTAACTTGGTTGAGCACCCGTTGTCATAACCTATGTTAACTTGGTTGAGCACCCGTTGTCATAACCTATGTTAACTTGGTTGAGCACCCGTTGTCATAACCTATGTTAACTTGGTTGAGCACCCGTTGTCATAACCTATGTTAACTTGGCTGAGCACCCGTTGTCATAACCTTTGTTAACTTGGTTGAGCACCCGTTGTCATAACCTATGTTAACTTGGTTGAGCACCCGTTGTCATAACCTATGTTAACTTGGTTGAGCACCCGTTGTCATAACCTATGTTAACTTGGTTGAGCACCCGTTGTCATAACCTATGTTAACTTGGTTGAGCACCCGTTGTCATAACCTATGTTAACTTGGTTGAGCACCCGTTGTCATAACCTATGTTAACTTGGTTGAGCACCCGTTGTCATAACCTATGTTAACTTGGTTGAGCACCCGTTGTCATAACCTATGTTAACTTGGTTGAGCACCCGTTGTCATAACCTATGTTAACTTGGTTGAGCACCCGTTGTCATAACCTATGTTAACTTGGTTGAGCACCCGTTGTCATAACCTATGTTAACTTGGTTGAGCACCCGTTGTCATAACCTATGTTAACTTGGTTGTTCTGTGGCTCTCCACTGCCTGTCGCCTTGCCATGCTGTGCAACCAACCACCAGAGGGAGCGTACAACCTGGTGTTCCAGTGGTTCATGAAGACCATTCCTCAGGTATTTGCCACCTGCACCTTGCTTTACCTCACCTCACCGCACTTCACCTCATGTCGCCTTGCGGGAGGGGTGTGAAGTAGTTTTCCACCGCACTGTATGCGTTCTGTACTACCCTGCACCCTACTGGCATGCGTCCAACCCTGCTGCAAGAGCGAATCCGAGCTGCCTCTACTTTCACCAACCCAGCACCCTTCCTCACCCCTCCTCACCTCACTTCATCTCACCTTACCACCACCACCTGATACTGCTGCATGGTTAGCTGCCCGCACATCCCTGTGCAATGGCGATAATAACCCCCTCTCCCCCTTGCCTCCCACGCAGACTCCTTGCACCTCCTCCTCACCACCTCTCGTCCTCCTCTCCCCACTCCCCTCTCCTTCCTTCTTTCAGGGTGCAGCCACATCGTGTTTCCTCGCAGCGCACCCCTCAGTGGCGGGTGCGAGTGGGGGCTACTACGCGGACTCACGGGCAGCAGAGGGTAAGGCGACAGCCCTGAGCAAGGACATGGAGCTAGCTGGGAAGCTGTGGGAACTGAGTGAGAAGATGGTGAGCAAGGAGTGAATGTAGAGGTGCCTCAAGAGCAGAGGGCAAGGCGACGGCTCTGAGCAAGGACATGGAGTTGGCTGGGAAGCTGTAGGAACTGAGTGAGCAGATGGCCAGCAAGGAGTGATGCTGGATGTTGTGGTGCGGTGTGAGGAAGAGTGGAAGCGAGTGGGAGAATGTGTGAGTGGGCGAGAGTGGGAGTTAAGGTGAGGGTGAATGAGCTTGGGGAAGGCTTGATGCTTGCACAGATGCGTGTCCCATCCCAAGCACAGCAAGTGTGTGTAGCTAGCAAATTAGAAACGGGAGGGAAAAGTCCTGGGCTTAGCTCAGATGACTGGCAGGGGATGTACATGGCAGGTAAGGTCACTTGCTACCTCATGGTTGTTACCGTACGTAGATGTCGTAAGCAGAGGAGCTAACACCCTGTACCATAACCTTGGGATCCGAATTACAACCCTCTTTTGCAGGATGCTAGGTATTATACTCTCGTGCCCTAGTATACCGGTAATTGTGCTATTGCTGTCACTTTATACTCAAGTGTCCTAGTACCGTATTCCCCCGGACATACCACCCGCCGAAATAGAGCACCCCCCGGGTGGCTTGTGCGGGGGGGGTGCTATAGCGGGCCTCGTTTCTACTATACCCCCCTTTTGGGGTGATTTTCTATAACACCCCCCTTTCATACAAAATTTCTAATTATAGCTGTTAGTGAGTACTGCAGAACATCGCGGAAATAACTTCCGCGATGAAATTTCATGGTAGTTTCGACAGAATCTTCCGAAATCACCCCCCTCCCTTTTTTACGCTACTGACACGTTAGAAGATTGTTCACTACCAAGTGGCCAAAAAGGTGCCACTTGGCAATTTCAAGGGGGATGCAAAGGATCTCTCCAAAACCCAGATTCTCGCTTCTAGCTGTGATGGTAAACTAACTCTGAAAACACCCAAGTTGTCTTTGCATCAAAATCCTTACACTAAAAAATACCGTATAAAAAGACCCGGGTGTTATGTAGCTTTTTCCCATGACAAGACCCCCCCCCCCCCCCCCCCCCCACCCCTTTTTTGATGTAGTTATCATAGCACCCTAGGGTGGTGTTAGAATCTAGCAGCAGGAATGATTGAACTAGCAGCATGCAGGAGTACAAGTAGTAAACCCTAATTTGGGTTGTACCCCATATGGGCTACCCCACTACAGCCTAGACAATATGCAGCATATGTTTGACACACCCCCATAGGCAAAGTGGGGGAGAACAAGGGGTCACACGACCAGTCAAGAGAAACAAAGCAAGCTCAGGGTGGATCACAACGTCACCACACACTCTGAGCACAAGCAAAGGGCCACAAGGCCAGTTCACATGCAGAGATATATATATGCAGCAATAACAGTACAGTGATGACTACCTAGCAGAAGCAGGCATGCAGGTATATATATAGATCACCGTACAAGCAAAGACTACAACAAGTGTGGAAACGTAGGCACAAGGCCTAACAGGGTACAAAAGCGCTGATGATCACCAGACGGAAGTGCCTTGGTGAATATATCAGCAGTGTTGGCCCGAGTGGCCACGTGACGAAGACGAAGCTGACCTCGCTGCTGTAACTCTCGAGCCAGGAAGTAACGCAGAGCGATGTGCTTCGTTCTGTGCTCCAGTCTGTGCTCCTCACACAAGGCAATGGCGGCCTTGTTGTCGACGTACAGCACTGGAGGAGAACGAGGCTGCTCTCCCAAGTCAGTCAGCAGGTAGGTGAGCCAGCGTAACTCCTGTGCAGCCATGGCTGTGGCGTAGATCTCAGCCTCACAACTGGAGCTGAGAACTGAAGACGAGCGTGTAGAACGCCACGAAACTGAACCAGAGCCAAGGCTGAAGGTGTAACCTTGTGACGACCGCTGAGTAGCCTGGTCGTCAACCCAAGAAGCGTCTGAGTGCCTAGTGAGGACAACTGGGCTCGTCCCTCCAAGCACCAGTCCCATGCCTGATGTACTGCACAAGTAGCGTAGTACCCTCTTAGCAGCAGCCATGTGCTCAGGTCGGTGCCGACCAGGAGCCACGTAGCGAGCCAGAAGACCAAGAGGGTACGCGAGGTCAGGTCGAGTGCAAGTCATCAGGTACATGAGGCAGCCGACTAGCTCTGGGTAAGGACCACTCGGCTCTACGGACTCGTCCGAAGGTGGAGCTGAGAGCGAGTGACCTGTAGCCAGAGGAGTGGCCTGTGCTGAAGACCAGGTGAAGCCGAAGCGCTGAAGGACCTACTGCACCATGTGTGACTGAGTTAAGGTGATGGTGCGACGTGCTCTGTCTCGGGTGATCTGCAAGCCAAGGTAGCTGCGCAGCTCACCCAAGTCTGTGCACGTGTGTCTCTTCTGCAGCTCCGACTTCACGTGGGCGAGAGCCTCAGTGTCAGCAGTGGCAAAAACCAAGTCGTCGACGTACACGAGGATGTAGAACGGCGGCAGGGAAGTGTCGGTGCGCAGAAACAACGACGGGTCAGCAGTAGAAGGCGCGAACCCAAGAGCCGCAAGCGTAGTCCTCAGTGTGTCGTGCCACTCACGTGGCGCCTGGCGGAGACCGTAGACCGGCCGCCGGAGGCTCCACTGGGTACCAGGAGGGAACGACCCAGTGAAGCCCGGGGGGCGGCGCAGCCAGATCTCCTCGTGCAGGCTACCCTGCAAGAAAGCTGTGCTGAAGTCAAGAGAGTGAAGCTCGTAGTCACGGTGAGCAGCAACATGCAGCAGCACTCGAAGAGTGGTCATCTTCGGGGTGGGGGAGAAGGTCTGGAAGAAGTCAACTCCCTCTCGCTGACTGAAGCCTCGAGCCACGTAACGCGCCTTGAAGACAGGCGGAGAACCCGGCGGCCGCTTCACCCTGAAAATCCACATGCCACTGACGATGTTCGCCCCAGGTGGGGGAACCTCGTCAACGTAGGTGCCTGTGGACTTCCAGGAAGCCATCTCGGCGTCCATGGCTGCCTGCCACTGAGAGGAGTAGGGACCCTCTATCGCCTCTGCGTAAGAGCGCGGAGTCGGGTCTCCCTCAGGGGCAAGTAGCGAGGACACAAGATGAGGTAAAGCAGCAGCAAGACACTAGAACTCCTCCTGCCTGTCCTCAAGGACGTCCGTGCTAAGAGCACACTCACCCTCGACGGACGGAGGACAGACAGACTCAGACTCAGCAACAAGACTAGCGGCGTAGTCTAGACGACAGGCAGCAGCAAAGTCAACAAGCTCAGCGACCAAGGCAGACGCAGCAGTAGACTCAAACGACGGGTCAGTGACAACAGTGGCTAGGAGACGCGTGACAGTAGGGTGCTCAGTACGAAACCGGTCAGACTCAGGGTCCGGAACGGCAGGCAGAGAGGACGCAGGGGGAGACGGCAGAGGAACAGGCTGCGGAGCAGAGGAAGGACGACGGACAACAAGGTGTGCGCTGGGGACAGCCGGCTGACGCGCACGAGCGACACGACGAACGGTACGACCAGAACGAACAGGCGAGACAGGATGCGACGCAGGCTCACGACGCGTAGCAGGACTGCCTGTCTGCTCAGTGTAAGGAGAGGGAGCAGGTAGCGGTGAGCCAGTCTGTAACGGAAGACCAGTAGACGACGGGAGAGTAACAACCTGACGAAGAACAGAGGCAGACGGCGGTAGAGACGACGGAGACGGCGGAGCGAAGAACAGTCGTGTCGGCGCAGCTGCACCAGTACCGGCAACTCCAGCAGCTCCAGTGCCTCCAGCAGCTCCAGCACCTCCAGCAGCTCCCGTACCTCCAGCAGCTCCAGAAGCTCCAGTCCCAGAGCCGACACCCCCAGTCCCAGGGTCTCCAACCTCTGTGTCTCCAGCAGCAGCACCCCCAGAACCAGCACCTCCAGTCCCAGGGTCTCCAGCCTCAGTGTCTCCAGCAGCAGCACCCCCAGAACCAGCACCTCCAGTCCCAGGGTCTCCAGCCTCAGTGTCTCCAGTACGAGCACCTCCAGAACCAGCGACTCCAGCACCTCCAGTAGACAAAGGACCAGCACCACTCCTAGCTCCAGCAGCGCGACGCTGACGGCGACCGTACCAGTCCTGCAGCTGCTGTGGGGTGAGAGGCACCCGTGGACGAAGGCGGCTACTCCAAGGAGACCGCGCAACAGTAGACTCAGAACCCTCAGCGCCCGCACCCCCAACGGCTCCAGAACCTCCGGTGTCAGTACCCTCAGCACCAGTACCTCCAGCGGCTCCAGAACCTCCAGCGCCAGCACCCGCAGCAGCTCCAGAACCTCCAGCTCCAGCGCCACCAGGACTAGGCCCTCCAGCAGCTCCCGAACCTCCAGCGCCAGCACCCTCAGTAGCTCCAGAACCTCCAGCGTCAGTACCGCCAAGCTCAGCACCCCCAGACCCCTCACACTCAGGCTCAGCACCACCAGGCTCCACACCCTCAAGCTCCGCACCCTCAGGCTCAGTACCCCCAGGCTCAGCACCCCCAGGCTCCGCACCCCCAGGCTCAGCACCCCCAGAAGTAGCACCCCGAGCAGGACCACCCTCAGTAGGACCTGAGTCACCAGTGACCTCAACCGGCGCAGTCAAGGGAGGAGGGTCTACCTGAGAAACACCTGAAGGAGCAGGACCGGGAGCGGGGAGGGGGTCTACCTGGGGAGCACCTGGAGCGAGGAAGAGCGGCGGGGGGGGGGAGCGGGGCAGTGCGGTAGGGGAAGAGACGGTAAAAGGGAACCGACTTGTCGAACGTGACGTCCTGAGACGCAAAGACACGGCGCGAGGTGGGGTGATAAAACTGCCAACCAGGCGCGTCAGGGACAAAGCCAAGGAAGACACAGGGAACAGCGCGGGCGGAGAGCTTGTCCGCGGTGGTATCGCGGACAAAGGCACGAGCACCCCAGACCCGGAAACGCGACGCATCGCCAACCTTCCCCGTCCACAACAGTGTGGGCGAGGTCTCCGGCAAGGAGACACGGGGCCAGAGGTTGAGCTGATGCGCGGCGTACCGGACCGCAAACGGCCACAGAAAATAGGGGGCAGCCGCATG